ACTAATCACACTCTATGTTAACAAGAAGCAAGTGTGGGGTCTTTAAACCCAAAATTCTTGTTAGTTCCTTGAATGAGATGCTTCTTGCATCGATCTATGATGTCTTGCAGTCCAAGAAGTGGAAAGCATCAGTACATGTTGAGCTTGCTGCTCTTCAAAGTAATGGCACGTGGACACTTGTTCAGTTACCTGAAGGTCAGTCTGTTGTTAGCTGCAAATGGTTATTTAGGGTTAAATACAACTCTGATGGAACGGACCAACGATACAAGGCTAGGCTAGTTGCTAAGGGGTACTCTCAAGTCCCTGGGCAGGATTTCAAGGAGACCTTCAGTCCAGTGGTGTGCTTTGCTACGTTGAATATCATACTTACACTTGTTGTTTCTGGGGGATGGACGCTAAGGCAAATTGATGTCAATAACGCATTTCTCCATGGTGAGCTGAGTGAGGACGTGTTCATGCAACATCCACATGGCTTTGAACAATACACAGCTGATGGCATCAAGTTGATGTGCAAGTTGCAGAAGTCCCTCTATGTCTGCTCCAAGCACCACGAAATGGCATGCAAAGTTGAAAAGTAGCCTTGTGCATCTTGGATTTAAAGAGTCCAAAGCTGATGTTTCTCTCTTTGTTTTGACAGCGAGTGAAGTGTTAACATATGTTTTAGTATATGTAGATGACATAATATTAACCGGGCAGTCATCGAGTGCAATTGAGAAGGTGGTCGTGTTGTTAAAGGATCATTTTTCGTTGAAGGATTTAGGGGAACTACATTACTTCTTAGGCATTGAAGTTAAGAGATGGGATCAGCTGTTAATTCTTAGTCAAAAACAGTATATTCTAAAGTTGCTTGAAAAAGCGAAAATGACTAAGGCCTCGAGTACCTCTACTCCTATGGTCGCATCCTCGCAGTTGAAGAAGGATGATGGGCACGTGAATTTCGAAGCCTCGTAGGAGGACTGCTCTACGTGTGTTACACTAGACCCGACATTGCTTTTAGTGTGAAAAAAGTGGCACAGTATATGCATGCGCCAAGAGAACAATATTTGCTTGCTGCTAAACGCATTCTGTGTTATTTAGCTGGAACGTTAGACTATGGACTGAGGTTTGTACCAGGCAAGTTGTATATATCAACCTTCTCATATGCTGACTGGGGTGGATGTGCAGATGATAGGCGATCGATGTCGGGCTACTGTGTTTTATTGGAGAAAGTTTGGTGACTTGGAGTGCTAAAAAGCAGAAGGTGGTGTCACGTTCAACTATAGAAGCTGAATACAGAAGCCTTACTGACACAACGGCTGAAGTAGTATGGGTTGATGCTTTGCTCACTAATTTGAAGCTGTCTCAAAGCAAACAACCAACAATATGGTGTGATAACACTAGTGCGATTGCGTTGAGTGTTAATCCGGTGTACCACTCGCAGTCCAAGCATGTAGACCTAGATGTGCACTTTGTTCGGGAAAAGATAGCTGCAAATCAATTATGTGTAAGCTATGTTCCAGCAGCTCATCAAGTTGTTGATGGCTTGACAAAACCATTAGCAAAAGCTGCATTTAGTAGTTTTCGTGACAAGATAAATGTGTGTTTGATTGCTGAAGAAGAGAAGAAGCAGGGAGAATGTTGAGAGAATGAGTGATCCAGATCGTATGAGAGTTCTAGAATGAACGAGGTAGCTCGTGTGGAAGTTCTAGATTAGAAGTTTGTGAAGTTCTAGAACCTAGACGGTTATGAGTTTGTTAGTCTGTTATAGGGAATTGATGCACTGCTGTATAAAACCATAATATTGTAAGCTGTAAAAGGTGTTCAAGTAATTCAATCAATAAGTAATTTTCTCATTCTTTTACATCGTTCTGCTGAATTTCAATATGCACCATTTCCACCATGCATGATTTTACCGAAAGAACCTCACCCCCTACTCTATTTAACGCCAGCAGCCCACCATGTGCAAACGACAAACCGAATTTTAAATCCAGCACACTAAAAGCGGTATATGGTGCTTTTTTGTCTTCGAAAGCAGCCCTCCTTTCCACCTCACAACCCACTAGCCTCATACTAGATGTCTCCACTACATATACATTAACGCTCCACTGGCCGGGCGAAGCATGCGGAGAAGCCAAAATAAAAAACTGCCTCGAGACCTATACCAATAGCATGTTCTTCACCATTCAATGTAACTTCAGTCGCTTCCACAACATCTTTGCACCACGCTCCACCCCCACCAGTGAGCCAACAATGAACAATCGAGACTCTTCCCTCTCGGGAACAACCAATACTGATCTATGGCAAAACCAACAGCAATGGGATGCATCCAAACAGCATCTGAAACCAAATACACCAAGCCTGCAACAATTACAATCGCTTTGATCAAAACAATAACTCGGCTCTAATTTCTAACGAAACACGATTATTTCTACTGAAGTAAACAACTAAATACTCCCCAGACTAAACATAATTTTTTTTATTAATTTGATGTTATTATAACGAGTAATATATGTTCGAAAGATTTTTATTGAATGCATGGAGTTAATGTGAAGAAGTACGCACAACATTGAAATGTTGCAATAAGAGAAGTAGGGTTATACACATTTGGAACACACCAACTTAAGCTTTAGTATTCTTTTAGAATTCAGCACCATTGATTAATTTCCATTATTAATATTCAGACCCAATAAGAAAATTTCAGCTTAACACTATTTTTGTCTAAATTATAATCATAATTATTCCTATTATTAATATTAATGACTGGCTGAATTAAGACCGCATAGAGTTATGGTTACAGAATTCGTGCAAATCTTTGAGCACTAATAAGTTGATTTTCATTTGATTTGACATAAAAATAAAGAGCTCATAAATAAATTCACATGTCTATTTCACTTCACTTTTGCAAATACATCACTGTCTTTAACTATTACCTTTTAAAAGAAGACTACCTTAAAAAGAACCTTTTAGAAGAAGATAAAAAGTAAGCGCTACTTTATTATTTATTAGTCATCCAAAATAAAGATATATAAAGTAAAAATAAAAAAATTGGTCCAATACATACACCATGAATCTCCACGGTACTTCTTATTAGATTTTGATTTTCAATAGTTAAAAATTAGAGTTATTATTTAATATATAAATTTTATTTTATGTAATCTATCCACTTTAATATTAAATTATGAAATTTAAATCTTTAAATCATGAATTTTAAACTATAAAATGCAAACTCAAATTATAAAATTTTAAACTTTAAATCTAGATAGAAAACATAACACTAGAATAGAGAGTGACGAATCATAGCTATTATATATGTCCATCCTTAAAATTCAAAATTCAAAATTCTTCAATTCATTAATTATTTTATTAATAGTATCCATTCTAAAATTTTATTTGTGCTTATCAAATTTAAAAATTTTGTATTATTAATATATGTGTTTATTCTTAAAAGTGTTTTTAAAACCACCACTAAAAATAGATAAATTTATATAAATTTAATTTACAGTTTTACACCATCCATTTATCATATTACTTTCCTAAGACAAATATTAAAACAATTATAATTTATTCAATGTTTAATGTTAGTTCATTACTACTACACCGTTGACAAAATAACCTTATTTTTATCAATAAAATAGTTTTTAACAAAAAATATTGTTAACCTTTAATCAAGTGATGAATTTGTTTCAATGGTTAGAGATACTAAACTCGTCCCACGCGTCTTGGGTTTGCTGCTGCTTATTGTCAACTTTGGTTTTATATGATCTTTCCATTTGATGATAACAAGTGTTATTATCTAGTTAAATTTATTAAATTTAAATTAAATTTAAATTGATAAAATACGTAAGTAATATAGACAAAATATGCAATTATAAAAAATATTTAATAGTCATATTAACACTTATATTAATTATTAACAACATATCATGTAATTTAATATAATTGATAACAATGAAGTAATTTGATTGATAAAATTAATAATTTAAATAAATAAGGATCATAATTAAATGACTATTAGTATAGTTTAATCTAAAAAAGATAAATTTAAGAAAAAATCATTATATCTGGCCAAAGAAAAAGACCACCGCTAATGTGAAAGAGTCGTGGAGTTGATCAACTTGGCAATGTATTTTTTAGTTATCTTTGTTATAATAGTATTTAAAATATTACACGTAATATAAATTATATAATAATAATAATAATTTATCTTATATAGAATAATCATACAAATGTTCGTATCATTATAATTTTTATATGTTTTGAAAGGAATGTTTATATTTTGAATATCATATAATCACGTAACGTGGATTACTCTATCCGCCAAGATCCCTAATTATTCTGTCGTTTGGAATTTAAAAAGAAGGAAACATTTGTATCACTTTCTTTTCAACTGTCTTTCTTTGTATAAACAGTTCCGTCCACCCTCAATCTCAAATGAAGCGTGTATTATACGTTGTAAGTAGTCAATATTATTGGCAGTGTTCTCACGCGATTTGAGAAGTGTAACAATGAGAAGCAATAACACGTAGGCAAAAGACAAAAGCGGTTAAACGGAACTGTATTGCCACGGACTACGGAAAAGACAGCGTCCTTCCGTAATTAAGAGATATATAGTGCATGTGAAACCTAATAAAACGTATTAATTTTTTAAAAAAATAATTAATTCATTGATGATCAAAATATTTTTTGATTAATTATCGGTTGAGAATTGTATATTTACATTGCTCTTGAATTGTATCTTATTTATAAAAGTAGCAATCATTTAAATTCTTAACTTTTATTTTCAGAATCTTAAAATCATTTTTATAATAATTAGTTTCGTTTTAAACGGTAATATGTTTTAATAATAATAAACAGAGTTTGAGATATGAATTGAGAAAATAAAATAAATGGGTAACTGTACCTGGCAAGTACTCCAACTTGTACCTCTTCTCTCTCCTAATCATCATATCATCACCTTAATTCTCTCTTTTTATATAATGTGTGCCTCACTCTCCTCCCTCCCTACTCTCTCCAACTTCTCATTTCGTTTTCTTTATTTTCTCTTCTTCTTCATCAACCTCCATATTGGATAGTAATAGATTCACCGTCACACTCCAACGTATATTTTCTTCCTCATAAAACGCCAAATGAAACAACTTATCCGCCGTCTCTCCCGTGTTGCCGATACCTCCTCCCAGTACAGACTCCTCCGTTCCGACACCTCCACGGACACGCGTAGAACCGAATCATTCCGCGTCGCCGTCTCCTTCTCGAAGAAGCCTGGACGCCTGACGGTTCCCGAAGGTCACGTACCGGTTTACGTGGGGGAAGACATGGAGCGATTCGTCGTGAGCGCGGAGTTGCTGAACCACCCGGTTTTCGTTGGGTTGCTTAATAAGTCGGCTCAGGAGTATGGGTATGAGCAGAAAGGGGTGCTTCATATTCCCTGTCACGTGCTGGTTTTCGAACGGGTCATGGAAGCGTTGAGACTTGGGGTCTCGTCACATGACCTCCAAGATCTCCTCCGTTCTTTCTCGGACGACTGTTTTTTTATTTCTAGGATGAAGAAAACGGTACTACGCTGTCGTTTTTAGTTGTGTAAATATAGAAGCTTAAAGGAAAACTGAAAAAAATGTTTTTTTTTTCTGTCTGTTTTGTCTGGTTCTTTGGTGTAAGCTGTAAAGAGTGGACAGAAATGGAGGAACTGTTGTTGTATTTTTTACCTATAAAATATTTTATTTCATTTCCCTCTATATTTTGGGTTTAATTTTCTGTTGCCTTTTTACAACTTCATTCTGAAAGGAAACTTTAGGCCAATTACAGCTTAAGATTCTGACAGCTGTCGTTCATGTGTTAAGCTGTTTTATAATGCAGCAATTTTTCTGTTTGGTTTCAAGGAAAACTGAAAAGTGAAATTTATAAAACTGGAAACATATGTATATTTAAAACTTATTGGGTAATTTAATTTTTTAATCACACAAACTTTATTTTTACCCCTTTTTTGACACTGAAGTTTATAGATTTTCAATTTCATCACTCATTTTTTTAATTATTCATGTTTTGGTCACTTTGTCCTTAAATAATTAATGATGTTATCACATGACAAATTACATGTCATTTTGGATCCCTATAAAAAAAATAAATTTAGACCAAAGCGATACCATTTTGGATCCCTGTAAAAAGATTTTTTCTTTTCCATTTTTCTTTCTTTCTTCTCCTTCCATCTCTTTTTGTCTCCCTCAACCTTAACCAAACTTATACTTCAGCCACATTGTTGGAGGTCAATGAGGTCCAAAATTTGCCACTCCTTTCTGAACACGAATCTGATGTTTATTTAACCAAAAAAAATCACATGCTCTATGTATATATCGTGTCAAACTTTAATTCTTCAAATTTCCACTCATTTTCAACCAACAACAATGTAGTTTAACCCATATTTTCTTCCTCTATAAGTATTTCAGTTTATTTTCTCATAGAAACTCCATAAGAATCTCAAAATTTTTCTCAAACTTTCGACCTTCTCCTTTATTGATCTCAACGTTTGATTGTCATATCAACACAATTTTGAAATACATTATTCTCTTTATCAGCATCCACCTTTTTAAAGTTGAAATTCCTCGTTCAGACAGTAAAGTATTAAGAGCAAAAATGAGTTATGATGTTTTAGTTTGGAGTTTAGTTGAGGTTTATAGATTTGAGGCAAATAAATGTTGAATTCAGACATAGTGGATTGAAATAGGTCAAACTGAAAAACTTTAGGTCTAACAGTCACAACAACTACGGTCGTCACAGTGACTATCTAAAAAATTAAGAGAAAAATACCAAGTAAACACACAATTAGATAAATAAAAGGTCGTGTGGCTAAAACAATAGTAATTTAAAATTAAGTGATTGCTTTAAAATTTTAATGATTAAATAAGAGTGAGAAGAAAGTTTATGATGATTTGTGTAATTTACATAATTTTATTTTGACATCTATAATTAAACCATTTTAAAAGTTTAATAATAAGCATGAACGAAGTGTTTTAGGTGGTTAAGAGATTATTGTTATCTCTTGATGTATTAGGTTTGAGCACGACGTATGCATGTGTGTATGAACATTTATTATCAAATGGTTGATAATCTTTCATACATTTACTATATTGTATTCACCCTAATTAATAAAAAATTACTAATAAAACCGATATAAATACTAAAATTTAATTGGAATAATTTACAAAAAAATTAAATATTAATGATGAATGCTATAATCTTAAAAGATATCAAATACCAGCATGAATTAGCAAATTAAAATCTTAGACAATCTCAAAATCCTTGTCAATCTCACTTTTAAAATTCGTATTTAATTGTTTGAAATTAAAAATCCCACTTTGTAAACTGTAATTAAGTTAAATAAAAAACATAAATAATTAGGAAATCGAGAAGAGTAAAAGAGTCGAATAATCCACTTTGTAAACATACCAAATGATTAATAAACAAAATATCGGTTTCATTCGAACTTATGCTCAGTAGATTATGATATGATCGATGTGAAATCAGATTAGATTTTGTTACATGCTTAATCATTATACATAACAATTCTGTATCTTCTTAATTCACTAATTAATTAATAACTAATGCCTAAAGCTTGAATCTGCAAGTGCCAACCAATTGGCAGTAAATTTCAGTTGTTGATTATTTATGAAATAAAATATTTTGAGTTTCAAGCCGAGTAATAAATATTTTTTTAAAGAAAATTTGTAGATAATTTTATAAAATATATTTTTTGTGAATCAAATAAATTAAACACAATAATTTTGTCAAAAAATTATACACAATAATATAATATATCAGATAATTTATTAAATAATTTTATATTTTACTAACAATAACAATAATCTCATAAATAATCTTATATTAAACCTTTGATAAGGGACAATAAACTCTCAAATCTTTACCATCATTCTACATAATATCATTGATAAAATTTGAACTTTAAAACATTTAATTTTGATATATAAATAACCTTTATCAAAGAAAGATATGTTTAGGACATCACTTACGTGAGAAAAAATTGAATTTAGTAAAAATATATTTACAAATATTAACTCAATAAAGTATTCAGGTGAAGTGGGAAAAACATATACAAATTTTTAGTCTTAATTCCAAATTTCAAATAGTAATTTTAATTATTATATATATATTAATTTAAAATAGCTTTAAATTTTTAAACCGAATTGATATTCAATCAATTTAAAGATTTTAAAATAAAAAATTACTTTTATGTGATTGACTATTTGAGCGGACAAGGAGTAGTGGAAGAATCTTTCTTTTTCTCGATATGTTTTTGTACGTTGGATTAAGTCCCCACAATTGCAATTTGGGTCACCCAATATCCTCTTTTTCTTTTCTATGCCCACAAACAATGAAAATAAGTGGGTATATTAATAATTAAACAAAGCCATCACACATAATTAATTGGGATTAATGCTGTAATGGTGTGTGCCATATTTGAAATCTCTGTAAATGTCACTTAAATCAATTGATTTATGATTTGATCCATAATCAGACAAATAACTTTGACAATTATCTTTGTACAGATAATTAGTGTCGCCCACTAAAGAATTAAGCCCAACTGACGAAAAGTTAATCTTTGATGTGTAACACACTTAGTGAATTTAGTTAAATTGTTGTAATTAAATATTGACCAGACTTTAATAAGTCAGACCAACCTAATTTCATTTGACTATGCCTATCATGGTTTTCAGAATCGGACCGGTTAGCGAACCGGTCATGTTACCGGTTCACTGGTTTAACCGGTCCGACCGGTCGAAAGAACCGGATGACGTCATAGTTATTTAAAAAATTATATAAAAATACCAAAAATATTTAATAATTTTTTTTATATCACAAGTCATATTCAAAGCAAGTCATAACATATATAAGTTAAAAATCATAAAATCAAGTGAAACAAAATAATTCAAATTAACTACAACATAATATTTAAGTTAAAACATATTAAATAATAAATATAATTATATAACTATAATTAAAAAATAAATTTGGGGTTAAAAAATCATAACAAAATGATATTGTTTAGTTTAATTTTTTTTAAAAAAACAATCCTACATGGCTAAGAAACATAGAAGAGCATCCCAAAAGTCTAAAGAGAAAATATGAGAACAAAACAATCTCACATTGCTAAGAAACATAGAAGCACATCACAACTAACTTCTATAAATAATAGAGGTAATTTGGCATTCAAAATCATGGAGCCTTTTGGTGAGCATTGAGTGAACTATTCTTTCACTTCAATCAAGCTCGAATTTTAGGCTTCAATCGAGCTTCTAATTTTTTTTTGAGTTCAAGCCTTTTTGAGTTCAAGTTTCAATTTTATATTTCAAGTTTGAGTTGAACTTGATAATTTTTAGCTTGTGAGTTTGAGTTGAGTTGAGCTTACTTTTAAAGTTTTCAAGTTCGAGTCGAGCTCAGCAATACTCGAGTTTGACTTGACTCGTTTAATAAACGACGTTGTTTGGTTTAATTTTTTTTTTAAAAAAAACAAAAATCCCGGTTTTCCCCTTTTTTTCGATTTTCAGTCGGTCCGGTTCGAATGGTTCAGCGGTTCTGGCCGGTTCACTAATAGCGGTTCAACCGGTTTAGATTGAACCGGATTAAGTAACGGTTCCCGGTTGAACTGGCCGGTCCGGTCCGGTTTTCAAAACAGTGATGCCTATATAGCTCTTGTCTTGAAGTTGACTAAATGGGTCCAACATTCCATTTGACTTGTCTTCATGATTCGCTCTATTTATACATTATAATTAATTTATGCTATAATGTTTCTATTTTTATTTTATTATTTGAAAAGACAAAAGGACGACCAACTTGTAAGCTGTGAGTAAGTACTGATATAATTTGAGAAGATTGTAAGCTCAACAAATAGAATTAAGAAATGTTATACATATTTCAAGTACTGATAAAAATATTGTTTAAAGAGACATGTGATTGTGCAAATTATTCTTAGTTACTAAATGGTCAGTACAAATGAAGTCGGTTCAATGGCCACATATTCTGTTTCTCTTGCTTTTCTTAATGGCTGACTTCCGCTGCTTCTTGTATTCTTCATATAACTGCAGGGACGTTGTCGTCCGATCCAACTCCCCCCTTACTCTTTCATTCTCTTTAATGTCCCGAAGAAGAGCGAAATGTCTACTAAGCTTCTTGCTCACCTCGTTCTCATCTGTTGGAGAAGGTTCATCTCTAGCCAACATCGAGGGGAGAGCAGCGGTTCTGGTTTTCCTCTTGTTGTTCGATTTCGGGGTACTGCCCTGTGGGTTGAATGACTCCTCTCCCAACGACAAGTTCTTGAAAGCTTGTTGAGGTGAAATGTTGATATAAACCTGGTTTTGGGCAGAATTCATGCTTGAGATGCCCGACGCTGGCGTTGATATGGTCGGATGATAGTGTTTAGATAGAAGATTCAGTTCCCAAAGCACCGAAGCAAGTGCACCACTTAAGCTGGGGTCTGAGCCATACGGTTGGTACTTCTGTTTTTGCATAGTTACAAAACGAAATAAAAATCCAACAATTACATTAATATGTGCTAGTAAAAGAAACCAAAATTCATAAATCATTGCAATGATTCTTATAACAATGAATCAAATGCAATACTTTGGTTCAAACATGTTGGGATTTGAACCTAGACCAACCAACTGCTTAAATGCAACACTACAGCATTGTTTTTCAAAGAAAGGACGAAAAGAAATCTATCTATACACGAACATAATAAAGTACTAACCTCGAAGCCAGTGGGCAAAAATTGAACTACAAAAATTTTCATGCTTTACTGTTCCTAATTCTCTTCTGGACATTCTTCCCATAAATGATTTACCACATTTTAGAGCATAAAACCCGATGAATGAGATAGATTGAAAATCGTAAAAAGAACGAAGAACGAATTTGCCGAGAAGGAATCAAGGATGCAGGATACAAAAATAAATGCATATGAGAAATTATTATTATTCCATCAGTTGAATAGAAGCATAATAACTTACAGCAGCAATTGATCCTGACACGGAGCCACCACCCGCATCATTTTCTAAAAGATTCCGACACTTTACATTTTTCTGAAGAAGCTGCTTTAATGTTACCAGGGCTGTACATTCGAAAAGGAAAACAAAAGAATGGCTTAAAAATACCTAATAAAGCACTAGAAATCAAATTGTCCAGCAAAACAAATTACACACCAGACATGGATTCAGCAGATCCGAAGCACAAAGAAAATGTGGCTAAGCGTTTTACAAATGCAGCAGCCTTTTGCATGTCATGTTGTCTATCATCAAATAGCATTACCTTAAGAGCCTCAGCTAAAACTTCACCTTTGATCTCTGCAACATGGACAACAGCAAAAGAATAACATTGGCGACCCATTTTGCAGTTTTCTTATTGTGACTGGCTTTTCTTAAAGAAAATGAAAGTTGATTTCAGCATTTGATGTTTGCAATAATAAGCTAGTCTCAGCCAGCTTTTGCATCTGGGAAAAGACTTTGTTGAAGTGTTAATATTTACTCCGAAGATACTATTCATTTGATAATGTAAGGGGTAGCCAATATACTACTAACCTTCCAGGCCTGTACTCAAGAACAAGATTGTAAAGCTGGGCAAAAAAGTCTTGTAAATCAACATTCAAAGCATCTAGATTGCTCCTCATAACTTTAAAGGCAACAATGCAGCAGCTAAGGCACTCAGAGACAATCGAATTTTGCACTTTCTGGGCAGAACTATCTGAATTGCTACCTCCAGCGGCAAGCCTTTTCAAATAATTCATAAGATCCCCAATGTAATCCAGGTCGATGAGATGAGAAAACTTTCCTAAACCACTCAAACAAGGAGCTAGCAGAGGATGTGCCCCAGACCCACTAGAAGTTATGTTACCATTTGCTTCAGAACTGAAAAAAAAATAGAATTTACTGGTGTACCAGAGATTTTATAAAATAATAAAGACAAGTTCATACAAAATAAAAAGAAATGGCATAAGACTTCAAATGGTAATCACTTTATCATATTGGTATTAACAATCCTAATCTACCGTTTTTTGAAATCTTGATCAATGTTAACAAAGTTATGTTTATGAAATACACATGCCTGAACTTAAGGAGATCTTAAGATATCATACAAAGACGAGTTGAAATTAAACAAAAACAAGATTGGCATTAAAAATCATCTTTAACCACTTTATTTCATGTATAAACTAGGAAGAAATCCAGACAAAAGGCTGGTTTCTACCATCTACAAATAATATAAACCTTAGGCTCCTGATTGGATTAAGGGGTGGGAGAGGTTCGATAAAAAGAGGCATCTATCTGAGGAAAACAATGCCCCTGAAACAGCAACAGAGAGTACAGGTATCATCTTTGCAGTTGGTTAACAAGTTCAATTTCATCATACATTACATCTGTGCAAATATATGAGATATTTCAACTTCTTTAGGCATATTTTTTGGTGAGGGCAAGGAGTTGAACATTGTTTTTCATCAACAGGATAAAAAGGCAGGCATGTTTCACTGCCATCAACAAATTGTTGCTGAAAATTTCAGAATGCCACAAACCAACCACACCAATAATTATAATAGTATAACAACCAACACATAAACTTCTGGATAAAAAGGCAGGCATGTTTTTCATCATTTCCTTGCAGTTGATTTGACTCTTCAGAATTTGCTCTCTTTATATTTTTCTTGTTCTTCATTTTGCTATTATCATGTTGAACTTCTGGCTTCCCAAGATCATCATCAAATGACAAAGACATTAAAAGCTGAAAAAGTTTTAAAAATTAACAGAAGAAAAAGGAATGAAGGAGCAGTGAGCAAAGTTATACAAAAAGTAAACATAAATAAGTCGATTCTCCTTCGAAATATCATAAACTATTCGACCAACTTCCACTGGCAAAATTGTACCTCAGTTAAAGACAGATGATGACATTTTCATATCTTATTAACATCTTAATATAAACATTCATAATGAAATTGGAATCTAAAGTCTTGAATAGCTGAGCTCCATCTTGCATTCCTTATAACAACTTTAAATACCATCTACAAGATAAAAAGGTCAACAAACAAAGATGAAAAGGAACTTCAACAAAGTTATCATCTTCTATGGCAAAGAGTTCAAGTTTAGGAGATCATCATAGTCTTTACCCGGGAAGATAAAGGATATCAAAAAGATACCAATCACACAAAGTTCAGCTTACCAATAATTGGACAAAAAGCGAAAGGTATAATAAAGAACTATAAATGCAGCATGAAATGTACTATCCAATACCTCAACAGAATCAGGATGCAGTTGACAGTCATGAGCTTTGACATGATCTGCAATAAACCGAACGGCCTCAACAGTAGCTTCACCGCCATGTTTCCCCTCATTGGTTGGTAAAAAGTGAATTCATAGTTGAACAGCAAAGTCCCCTGTAAGCAAGTGGTAAGTACTTTTGTTGGAAAAGACAAGCAACAAAGATGTACTTCATGCAATCATTACTGAAGCAACAATAGTATTAGCATGTTTTAAGAAGGGTGTAAGAAATTAATATCCAAGGTGATCCAGGATGATACAGAAAAATTGAGAACATTACAATTGTTACTAATGATATTCAAGTGAAATCTGTAACTGTAAGAAATAAAGTGAAACAATATTTGTAATATATTCCATAGTTTGCATGGATTTGGTCATTTGGTGAGGATTAACAGGCAAGCACAGTGGCTAAATAGCAGAAAAGTAACAGGAGCTTTCTTCAACAGGAAGTGATAGATCACTTACCATTCCCCTATGCATGAAAATAGCATAGTAAGGGTCTAGATGATTAATGGGATTAATCTTCTTTAGCACGAACTCAAACTCGTTACATATTGTGGAATGAAATTGTTAGCACACTGCTTTGGAGTTTAATTGTGTTGTCCAAGTTCAATTATACTACTAAAATATCAAATTCTCGTTAATAACATTAAAACTTTAATAGATTTCTGAACAATTTGTAACATTCCAAAGAATATCAATATAATATACCTTACAACATCATCTGAGGAGCCTATGTTTCTGACAACAGCTACTAGCAAGCTTTCTCTGAAGTTGAAGTGAGGAACAGCATCAAGCAAAGTACAAAGACAACGAACCACAACATGATGAAATATAGGCTGCTTTTTCTAACGCTAATAACTTCTGCAAGTAGCCCTGTTACATACGGGGAATATTATGGAGAAGAATGCCCAAATTAATAACTAGTACTAAAACTGAACTCAAATGACGTGGAAAACATCAAACCTTATTGATAGACATAATGTACTATGAAACAATCTAAAAGTTAGAATACCCATGAACATATCTTCATGATATATTCAATGCTTACTAAAATATGACTTTGTTCATCTAATTGTAGTGGCATTATTACACATTCTTTTCATATTCATCAGGATATAATAGGGTTGAACAAATCCATGTGCCAATTAAACAACATTGTAGCCTTTCAGATAATAGCAGCGATTCTACAAAGAAAAGGTTGTAGACATACCTTTCCTAAATTGTGATCACATTAAGATAGCGGTTAAAACCTTGTAAACTGATAGAAGTGTTGATTCATAGAACCACATTTTCTTAACTTCCTTGGAAACTTTCATTTCTAGCTCTTTTTCAGTTGGAAGCCTAATCCGATAGCTGAATTTTGCATATTTAAAAGTAGAGTAAAAATAGAAATACAATGCAGTTAAAAAGAAAATTAACAACAAATTGATAATCAAGGGGAAGTAAAGAAGGAAAGAAAGGATTAGTACCCAGGACTACTGTCTTTGAAGACAGCCAACAAAGACAGCAGTCCAAGCTTTACGATTGAGTTATCCCCATCTTTGACAACTTGCAACATCTCTTTCAAAGACTTTATGTTTCCTCTGGGTTTGCAAGTAGTGACATTCCAAGCTCAGCTAGCTTACGCTTTTTAGTTTCAAATGCTTCTTCAGCTGTGAGGTCTTCTTTCACCTCTGCCTAAAAGGTAAGCAATCTTAGAATGTTGAATATAGTAACTAGAGAATGAGAATGCAATATCCAGGCACTTCCCATTGTGAATGCCATATGGTAGGAACAAAAGCAAAAAAAAGCACACAAGTAGGATTTAGCATAACTAGCAGCACGCACCAATAGATGGAGAGGAATTTCTCCTCTTACGTACCCCCCCCCCCAAAAAAAAACATGATCAAAATTGGAAACAACATAGATATAACTTGAATGAGAATGAGAAAACCCGTGAGAAGGGTTTGTTAATATCTTACATGTATAGGCATTTTTAAGTTCTGGATGATAATTGACTTATTATGCAGAAGATTGGCACCATCCAGAAAGTTATAAACTTTGTGATGCAAAAGCAAGAGGAAATTTTTCTTATCACCACTTCAATATGTAGAAAAGGGAAAGCCTTCCAAGAAAAACCCAAATATATGAATATCTAGATGCTAACAAACCCTTTATTGAAATTTTCAGTGACCAAGTTCATTTCTATAAAATTCAAGTAGAATTTTGATAACAAGCATAACTAAAGCTTAGACGGGTTCCCTTTCTTGTTCTCTTAGGACAGCTATAATATCATGATTTACTGATCACACCATAAGAAAGAATTCAATAAACCTGATATTTCCTTTTCTAAGGTACGCAAATTAAACACCTTAGATGCTTGACAATTTAAGGAAATAACACTTTTCCCAACAAATCCCACCAATCAACTCCTCCAAATAATGATTCAAATGGCTGCTGATGCCAGAAAATATTTGCAATACGTTTTCCACCTTCCTGCACCTCTATTTTTGAAATCCAATTGAGCCTAACACTAAGTCCTTGCTCTGCTTAACAACAATTCTAAAACCTTCTTTTTTAGATATAGCCACTGCACATAACCCACCTAGGGAATTACGTGAATTCAATAAATATCATCCAGCCCAAAAGATAATAATCGTATACATTCATAATATATGAACTCTGTTTCTATCCTGTTGTTGTGATTGACAGAGGTTATCATAAAGATAGAGGATAAGGCAAAACAATAAAGGCCAAGATAGTAAAGCTGTTGTCAAGTAATTCCGGAACTTAAGGCAGTACGGCATATAATCAAGTTAGTGCGTGAATAGAAATAAATCTAAGGCTGGATGATCGTTATAATCGTCTCATAGGCCAGTCCAGCTCAAGTTTCATATATTGCTATATGATAGGCAAAGATTAAAGTATGCAATTAACCTGTTATGTTATAAATGTATGGATCCTACTACAACCCTGATGCTCAAGTTTCATATAATGTATGGGGTAGTTCTGAATGTTTATGATGAAGTGGATAGGATGGAGAGCAACAATAGACGATGTTACAGCATGTCTTTTCCCCAAAGATGAGGTCATCCATTTTTCTTATCATCCACCTAGTGAATAAATATAAAAAAATATATTCCGATCGAATTCTGATCAAAACTCTAACATTTTTATGGTAATTTTAGTTGAAGAAAATTGTAGTTTCGTATCTGAAGGAAGCACAGTGGACAAAGGAAGGTTATATGCCAACATTCGATGAATATTTGGAAATAGCATTGCATTCAAGTGCTGCCGTTTTAGTGATTGCTCAAGTCTTGGTTGGGATGGAAGCTGATGCCAATGTCTTTGAATGGTTGAATTGGTAACAGTAAATCTCTTGCAGCTATAAAGCTCATAGCTCGTCTCTAAGACGACATCGCAACCAACGAGGTATTCTATTACTCGAATTATCGGTTATAGATATATGTTCGACGGGAGTCAGTAAACGGAGATTAATATTATTTATTCATGTTGTTTGGTATGGTTGAAGGACGAGGAGAAGAGAGGGCTCGTTGCATGTGGAATAAAATGTTATATGAAGCAATACGGCGTCTCGAAAGAGGAAGCAATACAAGAGTTCCGGAAAAGACTTGGGATTGCATGGAATGAGCTGAACGAGGAGTTCATTACGAGGCCGAGGACTGTTCCGGTGCAAATTCTTAAGCGTGTTGTTAACATTGCACGCGTAATAGACCTTACTTACAAGGACGAGGATGGGTTTACAATGTCTGAAAAGATTTTGAGACATCACATTTTCAATGTCCTTATTCATCCCATCCCTATTTAAGATTTTGTGCATGTCCTTTTCCATTAATATCGGATTTCAGTATTGAATAATATTATTATAAATTTAAAAATAAAATCGTTAATGTTTTATAATAATAAATAGTTTTTTCCAGTGCTTTTATATTTTTCTTGAAAGGGGGTGTGAAACTGTGAAATATTATTTGGTGGGAGAAAAATGTGAATATGTAAAATTAGTGACAAATCCAGATATTTGTTTGAGGTGATGTACATCTATTATATATATGTATATTAACAACATAAATTTTTTATATGAGTGGTTTACAAATAAGATTTCGGGATTGACACGATCAATAAAATAGATAGTTATCCGAAAAAAATTCAAGTGTGGATACACCACTATGTGAATCGTTACCTAGCCTAAAAGTGGTTTGATATATTAGGGTTGAATAAAGATTCCGTTTGAATTAATTGATTTATTTATTTATTTGGGTAACTTATAGTTTTGAAGATTAATTTTATTATCATTTTTAAAAAATATAAATTAAATAAATTGATTAATTACATGTATATGTTTAGTTAGTTTAACATTAATATGAAATTGTTTCAAAAAAATAGATTAATATGAAATGAAATGCTTAAATATAAAATAGTTCATTTCTTTAATAAATTAAGTTGTCGCACACATGTTATAATTTTGTTAATAAATAAAGCTTACAAAGTAAAAAAATGTATTTATTCAGTTTAATTGGGAATAAACTCAAATAAAATTTAATAGGTTCAAAGACTGTGGGCAGGAGGGTTGTGAACTTTAGTTGATGTTTAATATATTGATTTGGGCCTAAAGGGTTGAAATGAGTGAATTTTATTTGGTATTATGATTGTGTTAGAGGAGCGATAATGCCTTTTATATTTGGGCTAAAAGAGGCGTGCACTTGTTTTTTAAAGGATAATATACAGCTGACTGCCAATATTAATAATAGTAAAATAGTTGATTATACAAATAATCAACAAAAGTAAAGATGAGAGAATTATGAAAATTAGGTATATCAGAAACATCAGGCAGAAGAAATTGCAAAATTTGAATGATATTAATAGACAACTAAAATCTGATGTAATGAACAGTTATTTCTTCGTAAGATCAAATTTAGCTGCAAGAGGATCTGTTATGGGGTATTGCATTGGCTTGGTAATGTTACTGGCTCAGGTTCTACCGCCATTAGCAGTGATTCATTAGGCTTCAACCCATTGTTTATCAACATACGTTCTCATTAATTATTGAATTATTGAAGTCATTCAATGATTTTAATTTAACACATTTAAATATAAATTATTTTTAATTTTATAATTTAGAAAATATTATTAATTTCTATATATAAGAAAAGAGAAATATTTAAAGGAAGTATTTTTTTAATAGTACTTGTGATTATAAGATAATAATTATTTATTATCATTTTTAATCATTGATAATACATACATACCTTGTAGATATAATTATTCGAACTTCAAACTTCTACAAAAATATAATATTTTTTTAACAATCAAATCTACTTTATGAGTTCAAAAGTAAATTACTTTTTGGGTAAACTACACGGGAGCCCACTAAACTATGGTTAAAAATCAATTTGACCACTGAAGTTTCAATTGAATCAACTAGACTACCAACTATTTAAATGTTTCAAGCAAGCCACCGGCCATTAATTTTTAACAGAGGTGGTGACGTGTTCGTTAATAAAATTGGCATAACTATATATTTGGTCATTAATATTTATATATTCTATCAATTTAGTCACTATTTTAATTCAATTAAATAAATTTTAACTATTCAATTAGAACGTGACATGTGTCAATACATGATTGAAAGATTTTATTTCTGAAAGAAAAAGTCTTTTGGAGTGTTAATTTCCGATAGAAAAATGTGTGGGATTTTAGCAGTTTTGGGTTGTTCTGATGATTCTCAGGCTAAAAGATTTTTAAAATTTTAATTTTTTTTACTTAAAGATTAAATAAGTATTTAAATTTTAATTAAAATCAATTATATCCCTAAACTCGACCAAAAAATTAATTATGCCTTTGAACTTCGTAAAAAAAATCAATTAAATTTATATAACATATCATCATTTATATGTAGACTATCATGATAACATCATTGACAACCATAACATCACATTAGATCATCATGTAGTCATTATTGATAGCCACATTATCATATTAGATCATATTGTCAATACTGTTAACTATAACATTAATATTGTAATGGTCAAAGCCAATTAAATAAATAAAACTAATGTAATTAAATGAGTTTAAAAGATTGATACAATTAAAAGAATAAAAACAAAATTACAAACTTTTCTTGAAAACAAAACAATTGAACCGAGAAGATTATAAGTCCGCCTAATTGTCCATTTTTGACCCACCATGATGAGTTGGGATCCAGCTTGATTCTGATGGTACTGAAAATGACAACAAATTAATACCTTGTAAGTTTGGGGAAAACAAGGTTTTCTTCTCTTCCAGTAATAAGGTAGTTTAAAATCATTATTACCTAAATGAAGTGCTTTTAATCTTCTTCCTTTGAAGGGATACTTGTAGTCATGTTAGCTCCATGTCATATCCTTTAAAATTAATTTCATTTTCATAAAAAAAATCTTTGATAATAAAAAAGTTACGCTACTTTAACAATTTCTTTTTCTTTTATTTTATGACTACATCTATAGAGAAAACTCCATAGTTTTTTTTTTTGCCTTTTAATCATTGTTTTATAATTTAATTTTCATCACTTTTATTTTTTTGATGGGTAGGTGATATGTGAATTTTAGTTTAATAAAATTATATATTATAATTTAAATTTTAACTCAATTTTGTTAAACTACTAGCACCATTATTAGCATGAAACAATTTCACATTTATTTATTAGATACAGAATTAATTATATTATTTATTATAAATGTATTCTTTTTTATTTATATTTGATAATACAAAGTGAGATTATTATTAAAAATTTAGGTATCAATTGAATTAAAATAAAGATTTTAAAAATATTCGTATTCTTAAATTAAATTAAGTTGATAAACCTTACGTTGGTCTTTTTCTCCGCGTGTTTTATTGCATGCCATTGCTTTATCGTGTGGGGTATATTAAACGAAGTGTTAGGTAAAGCATGCCGCTGCTTACTCCATTTATGTTGGAATTTATTCATTATAAAGTATAATTTTTATATTAGTATAAATAATGTAGTATTTATTTATAATATTTTTTAGTATTTAATAATATATATATATCTTACAGATATAATTACTCTTGATAATACATGTTTTTTTAAAAAAAATTAACATTGTATTTAACCACTAAAATTACTTTATAAATTTTTTTATAAAGCATAATTATTTTTTGGTAAATACTATAAAGTAATACAGTGATGACAATGATGTGTGATGTCGGGGACTCATTATGACTAAGCTAATTGCAAATTTATTGTCCACCGCCGCGTTGGTTTGATTGTTACTTTGGTCTCTTTCCCTTGTAGTTTCCCAATGATTGTACAAAATCAAACTTAAATGGGCCACCCGAACAATTTTGACACTTAAGGAATTAATTAATGAGATTTTAAGGACTTAGTTTGGATGGATCGGGTAATTTACATTTAATTCATTTTGACTTATTTATATTCTAAGTTTTTGCGTGTAAAATTGAGAATGAATTATTAAATGTTAATTCTTAAATTTAAATTAGTTTAAAGTCAAATCATTTTAGGTTAGTTTAATGGTTTGTTTAATTTAAAAAATGATTTTGGTTAATTTAGAATTTGAATGGAGCAAAATTGTGGTAATATTATAAAAAATGTAATAACTGTTATTTATATTTAATTTTGAAGATTTTGTAATTTTTCAATTGTTATTTTTAATATAATCTTTGAATTAAATAGAGGCTTAATACAAAAATAAATATCTAAATTATGTGTCGAAAAACGTTTTAGTGTCTAATTTTTTTTGCTAAAAATATGTGTTTAACGTTTTTTCCGTTATCATTTTAAGTACCCGGATGTTAAAGCCGTTAAAAATCTCAGTTAAGTGACACATGTCACGTTCTTGTAATTTTGAGAATTTTTATTTAAATTTAAGAAAACTTAAAAAAAATTCAAATCTTAAAGACCCCTAAAACTTTTAAAATTTTAATTTTAATCCCTTTGCCACTGCCCGCGGCCACCAACGCCAATAATCGGTTGAACACTGAATGACGTGTGATCGACCAACCACCCATGACGAAAACTCTCATATTTTTGCAACCGATCGAACACCCAAAAACAGTGTAAATGAAATATTTACACCAACACAAATGACTGTCAATACTCGTACGGCTATGGAGACAACTCGTTTACCGTTGGAGCCCTCAGCAGTGATACCTTAACTTTTGACTCCTCCAATGGTAAAAACACAGCATTCCCTACATCCATTTATGGTTGTGGACGCAACAATCAAGGCAATTTCAGAAGCCCAAGTGCTGGACTTGTTGGCCTGGGAGGAGGACCATTGTCTCTGGTTTCTCAAATAAACACTCAAATTGATAACAGATTCTCCTACTGCTTGGTTCCTCGCTCTACAAGCTTCAGTAGTAAGCTTCTCTTCGGCAAAGAAGCTATAATATCTCGTCCCAGGGCTGTTTCAACTCCATTAATAACCAAAAGCTCTCCAACCTTCTACTTCCTTAGTCTTGAAGGTGTTAGCATTGGGGAGCAGACCGCGCAGCCAGATTCGAGCTGAAGATACTAGTTTTTTTACATTTGGTTTTTTATATTTATTATTTTTTTTATTATTTATTATTATTATTATTATTTATTATTAATTACAAGCCCAAATACAAACAATCCAGGCCCGTTTTACAATCAATTTGAACCAGGCCTGAGAAGCCTAAATTATTTTGGGGTTTCAATTAGGGTTTTCAAACCCTAGCTCCCAGCCGCCGTTTCCAGAAGCCCCACGCGCCGCCGCCTCATGTTTCCAGAAGAGCCCAGCTGCCACCTCCAGGTGTTCCACCCCGCTGTAG